TGAAAGCGGAAGGACTAAACAGAATGTAAGTTTGGATGGTCAATATGAGACGCTCTTTAATTAGAGTCTAGGGTAACCTTACTTACTTTAGAGTCTTTACTTTCAGCCATGTTTTAATTATGTTCATTTGTCAAAAAGCTGAACACCACAAAAGCTCAAATAACTATAATCTGCTCATATCATATAACAGATCCTCATAATAATGGTCCTAATGGACTGTATGACTGAGATAACCTCTGAATAATCAAAGAAAAAATGGCTCATACTTCTAGAATTTTAAAAATGATATTGCATTTTTATTTCATGAAAATTTACAATGCATGCAAGATATGCGTGACTCTCCATTAACCTGAATATTAAGTTAATGTCCTATTTCTTAATTATTTTACCACACTTAATTCTTCTCCTCACCTACCGTTCCAAAACATTCTTATGCACACACACTTGCAGCCATGACACACCCATGTGGGGGTCGCTTTTTTTGCTTTACACGGTTGAGGCTAAATACATCTTTTAAAAAAAGGCAAAGGTGAATGAGACAACTTAGAATATTTTGGCAGACAAAGGGCTTTTCCTCTAAGCTCTAAAGTTTTACCAGGCATTAGTACAAAAACTTGCATTTGCTCTTCTCATTCACAGGGTCACACTTCACTAATATGTAATATGAGAAGAGTTTAAAGACTTCCAGAAGAAGAAAGCATGCTATATTTATTTAAATAACCATCACTTTGCTCATAAAACATAAAGAGAATTCATTCAAACCTTTATCACTGAGACAGTGCTATCATTAACAGCAAAATAGTTTCTTAGCCTGACCTCATAAGCCTTTAAGCCTGTGTCCCTTGCTTGTTAATCCCTTACAGTCTGACTTTCTCTTCTGAAAGTGCTTTCTCTAAGATTGCTAATGATTTTCCTCATCACCAGATCCAAGGATATCTTCTTATGTGTTATTCTTCTAAATCTCTGTGTCACCACTTACACTGATGACCACTCCTTCCTTGAAATTCTCTCCTCCCTCAGGGTCTATAACACTGGTTTTCGGGTTCTTCCATGATCTTCCTGTTTCTATTATGTAGGCATTCTCTTAGTTTTTTGATATGTTCAAATGGAGGGGAATGGGCATGCTTGTTTTGTTTAACCTCAACCTTCTTCTCTCTCAACAATCTCTCCCTTGGCAATGTCGCCCAATAGTTTCTCTTTAAATACTTTCTGAATTTGGTCTCTTCACTTTCAACTGAGTATAACACATCAACATTTGAGTATTCCACCAGCATTTCACATTCAAGTGTCTAAAATTAACTCACTCTTTTCATTACCAAACCAGCTCCTTCCTGTTTAACTTTTGTTTCCTCTGGTTAATGGTGTCTTCTGCCTCCCAGTTCTTCTCCAAGTTTGAAACCTGAGAATTGATTCTTACCCCTTGATCTCCTTTGCTTCCCTGAGCCAATTACTCCATAAGAAATATGGCTCCTCTTAACAAGCAGATCCACCCCTTTGCTTCTCTTCATTTTTCCAGCTCCACTTCCATCAGTTCAGGCTTTCCCTACAGTGATGAGTCCACCTGTAAACTGGACCTACCTCCCAATTTCTTATTTCTTGCAAGATCTAGCACAGTGCCTCATCCAGAGTAGGAGGAGTTCCAGCAATGTTTTTTAAATTGAATAAAGGAACAAGTCCTAAAGTTTTCTGAAAGCAGGAAATTGTCAACATAAAGAGAAGAAGAGAAGGTAAACTGTTGAGTCTTCAAAAGCTTAGAAGTTAAATTGAGAAGGAAAATCTTAGAGATGCTTTAAAATTAAAAATGAATTATATTAACACTTTGGAACGTATTTTGTGGCAAAGCAGAGAGAAAAGTCTCACAAATGAACCTTGTGGTGTTTTGGAAAAAAACATGCCAGATTCTTAATGTTTTGAAAATTCATTAACATTCCGAAAAAGATTCACTGTTTGGGATGTTCACAATTATGGGTATTCCCAACTCCCAAGGCACGGTTTGTCTAGCATGTTCTTTCACTGTTCTGCTCCTCAAATAGATTAACACAATGCCCTAAAAACTTTCAGTTACTTAGATGTCATTATGAAAAAGGTCACTTTTTGAAGCAACTAAGATGTGAAAACCGTTATCAACTAAGATGTGAAAACCATTATCAAGACCATTATCAACTAAGACATGAAAACCATTATCAACGAAGGGAGGTTTATAATGTCCCCTCCTACTGGTCACTTATTCCAGGTTAGTAATATTTTTTTTGAATAATCGATCAGAAAGTATTTCTGTGCAAAAAACCCCAATGGTAGCCTTTCTTACCAAGATAGTTAAAGTTTTAAAGAAAATTTTAAAAAGGTTCTTTTTCATATACAGCTTTAAATTTTGGTAACAGTTGAAAGCACCAAAGACATATGTTTTAAGCTTTAAGCAAAAGAGATGTCATTTGAAATGAATTACTAAATTTTTTTTAGGATGTTTTATTCTAGCCTATTATTCTCTGCATTTACCAAGGGTTAATTTCTGACACACACATTCATGTAAACAATGCACAGAACAAAAACACTGTTTTTGCTAATCATGATACTGTGCATCACTTGGCAAAAATCTGAAATAGATTAATTTTGAAAAGAATGTCATTGGTTTTTAATAAAATGGTATATGCTTTTTATAAGAACCAAATTAAGCAAATTATATCAGTTTTCCTAATACACTGATCAATATAGTACATATAATATGCCAACAGTTTGTAAACCCTCAGAATCCTTCAGACCCAAGGATTAGGACATATAGTTTTGTTTCATTTGCTTTGTTCCTTTACTCTTAACCCGAAAATCAATTTTTCTGGGTTTGGTGATATAAGGAATAAAAAAAAGAAATTAGCTAAGACCAAATAAGCCTATGATCTAAACAAATTGAAGCAATAACTTTACATTTGAGAACTTGCAGATGATATGAAACTTTTGTCAGCTACTAAATGTATTTTTTTTAAACCCTGTTGATGGAAGATGTAGCTTCCAATGTTTTCTCCAGTAGAGTTAATGAGCTAGATGGAAAATGTCTCATTAATTTCTTTAGCCCCTTGTGAGTCAAGAAAAATGACATTTTTATCTAACAGCTGGTAAAACTGAAGAATTAGTGGGTGTAACTGTGCTTTACTATACCCTGAGATGCGGATGTGAAAGAATATTGCAAACACACATACGCTCTTCCTTATTTTTAAGGAATCAATATCTGCTTAAAGAATAAGGCTAGTTGAAACTCTTGGATCGTGGCCCTATAAATTTTGGCAGAGTAAATTATTGTCTCATGGCCTGGCAGTGCAGTGACTCTTTTAATTTACTCTTAAATAGCTTTTCCCTAATCTGTACAACCTAACATCTGGCCAATTATGAATCTTCAGCAAACTTAAGTCTCTTATTCTATACATTTTTTAAACTGTAAAAATTTAGGAAATAACTCTTTGCAAACTACATTGAAGCACTTATTGGGAAGCAAAAAAGCACAAGTTGAATTGATTTGTACTTTCACAAAAACGATATTTGACATTTTGCTTAGAAGTTGCAAACCACCAGATAGTTTTGAATTCATTTGATTTGCAAAAAGTAGAATGTTTTACTTGAATGGAAATACCCTCAAGTTACTTCCAGCATGGCTATAGGATTGATTTTTCTAGGTTAACGGAATGCCAAAGTTTAGTGCCTCATGTATATTCTTAAAAAAAAAAAAAAAAACAAAACAAAAAAAATCATCCATTTATTTAAATGGACTTAGGAAATTCAAGAACAAATCAGGGAATTTAACATCATTTCAGTATTACCAACACAGGGCTTTGTGTAAGGACTGTGACATCAAGCTTCAAACAGATAAGACTTTACCTCGGCTCGTCCAATAGAAATACAATATGTAAATTAACCCATATTATCTGTATGCTGATTGGCCTGAGTTCCCCCGAATGTCACAATCTCACCACCCAGCAATGAGGTATTTTACTGCTGTCTCGAGATCAGATTATTACTGTAGAGAAGATTTTTATTTTTTGTTTCATTAACAGATTATTATAAAGCAATAAGCATGCAGGAAAAGAAGCAGACGTTTTACACTGGGAATTAATGAAAGCATGTTTGATAGTTTTGGGTAGGGGAACTGGGGAGTTAGTTGCTTAAAATTTTGTATCATCCTCACAAACAAAACTCTTCAGAAACGGTAAAATAAGAAAATGCATTATTCTAGAGGCATTCCAAGTACCCACCTCTCAGGCTACGTGGTGTTTGTAATATCATCCGATCTTTTGGACTGTTGTAAGTTTTATATATTTGTCATATTCCTAGATTTTTCATCTGTAATAACAAAGGGGAAAAAAGGAAACTCATACACATAACTCTTTGACATCACGCATCATTGGTCAGCCGAACTTGCAAGAAAGGAAAAGAAATACTGTTGCTTGGTGGGGTGAAATGCCAGGAATAGCAATTTAAACATTTTGTAAGCCTGATTCTTTACTGACATCCTTTAAGGTAGAATGAATGTAATTCATATTGTAGTTGTCCTCTGAACTTGGCTTTCTCCCTACTTTTACGCATATCTGCGTGCACTGGAGAATAGAAAATGACTAACAAAAACAGAGCTGCCCTAACCTGCTTCCTTTCTTCCCCATTGACAATATTTTTTACTGTGAAAAAAAAAAAAATTCTTTCTTCTTTTTTTCCCATTCTTTTTCCAAGTTAACCTGCAAATTCAAAGGTTAGCTGGAGATATCATTAAAAAAAAAAAAAAATCTAAAAGAAGCCTCCAGTGGTTTGGACCACCCTAAAAGAAAAAGGAAGAAAATGTTTGGGGAAGGCTAGGGTTCCGGGAAGCTGAGGAGGGGAAGGGCGTCCCAGGCACAGCGACTTCCTCGTGCGCTGCATTTGGGAAGAGGATGGGCCTGAGGTCCTGAACGGGCCTTTCCAACCCCCCACTTCAAATGCGGGGAGGGAAAAGTTCAGAAGCAGCCACAAGGGGACAAATGCTTAATGCTGCCAGTTGAACTGGACAGGGGAGTCAATAAACCCAGCCAGCTCTGGAGACAGGTAGGGGCTTCTGTTGGTTCCACAGAGGCTGAAGCTGCCCCGCCACCGCCCTCGCCACCGCCACCGCCGCCGCCGCGGCCCCTGCGTTACTGGGGGAGACGGTGCCGCTGCGACAAGGGAGGACGCGGCTGGAGCTCAAGGAGGTTCCAGCGCGCAGGCGCCGCCGAGCCCTGCCTGGATGCTCAGTAAAGGCACTAAAGCAAAAAAAAAAAAAAAAAATCAGCAATTTATAGAAAGAAGAAGCTATAGTCTGTCGGGATATCCAACACCAACAGGTAGGAGGATATACTCTTGGTTAAGTTTGGGGGAGGGGGGATGCACAATGTTGATGAAACTGCAGGTTCACGGGGAAAGAGCCCTCCCTCAGGTTTTTGTGCGTGTGTGTGTGGCTTTTTTTCTTTTCTTTTTTTTTTTTTTTTGACAATAAACTGCATAATGGAAGTACATTCAGACAATGCATCTTCAGTAGGGCTTACTGAGAGCTCCATTTCTGGAAAGGCTTTCAAGACCGAGGAATATCAGACTGCGAATCACCGGGAACGGTTCCTTTGCAGCACAGAAGCAATCTCTCTCCCCATCTTCGCGTATGTAATGCATGTCTCTCTCCCTCTCCCCCTCCTCCACCCTCCCCCCATTATAAATCCAGGGGTGGTGGATTTCAGGTTTCGTAATGTTGCATGATGCGATCAGTATTTACCCGAGGATGTACTGGTGGGGAAATTAAAATCATCGAACGCAGTTTTGCCTGGGCTTCCATCAGCGTATTCCGGGCCAGTGAGAAGTGGCAAAGGAAACACGCTTGGTGGGAATAACAGAGGAAGCCGATTTCCCCGGTGTGGTCCAGGCACCAAGAGACAATGTGCGTTTTGTTTTAAAATGAAGCCGTTTGCGATTTGCAACTAAGGTTATCAGTGTAAATGTAAAAGGCTTAATTGCCCAAGAAATACAGGTTCATGTTATATTCATTTGAATCCAGGCAGCCAAGGTTTACAAATGGAAGTGTATTATTCCTCTGGGTGTGTTTCCCTGGCCAATATTTACATTAACCATTTTAATAATCATGTGGGCTTAAAAGATTTGCCAAAAATGGGAGTAGGGTGGAGAGGGAAAGACAAATGATTAAATCACATCAAATCTTGGGACAAGTTCCTATTAATTTTGAAGTCTAATTTTGAAATTTTGCTTTAAGATGAATCAACAAATACTCTTATGCAGCATGAATAGTGGCACTTAAGACATATTTTGCACGGGTTCTTTGGACCCACATCAGCAGAGAAGCTGCCTGTGAAACAATGACAGATACTAACAGATCTCAAATAAATGTAGGTAGTCTCTCTGCCTCCCAATAGCAATCTTGTTGATTCCATTGCAATTCTAGTGATTAATTCCTGGACTGGCATATTTTACAACAATGGGACATTTTATTCCTTCTCTCCTAAAGGTACCCAATCAAATGTATATTGTCCAAAATAGGGACATTTTAAAATTTACCTAGCTTAGAAAACTAAACAAGCCAATTCTCTAAAATCTTGAGCATAAATATTTACTAAAGCAAATAATACTATTCAAAATTAAAACTTTATTTGCTTCCCCATAAGTGAACAGCTTTATGTTAGCACTGTCTGGCATCATTGCTTGTTAACTTAAGAACTGATAGCACTTTTTTTTTCAGATATTCTGATGGCAAAACAAATGGAAGAAAAGAGGAGGCATGACTGCAGATTGGATCAGTTCTCTTTGTGGATTATATTTTCAGTAAAATGTATGGATCTATCTTTTCCTTGTTCTTATATCTAGATCATGAGACTTGACTGAGGCTGTATCCTTATCCTCCATCCATCTATGGCGAACTATAGCCATGCAGCTGACAACATTTTGCAAAATCTCTCGCCTCTAACAGCCTTTCTGAAACTGACTTCCTTGGGTTTCATAATAGGAGTCAGCGTGGTGGGCAACCTCCTGATTTCCATTTTGCTAGTGAAAGATAAGACCTTGCATAGAGCACCTTACTACTTCCTGTTGGATCTTTGCTGTTCAGATATCCTCAGATCTGCAATTTGTTTCCCATTTGTATTCAACTCTGTCAAAAATGGCTCTACCTGGACTTACGGGACTCTGACTTGCAAAGTGATTGCCTTTCTGGGGGTTTTGTCCTGTTTCCACACTGCTTTCATGCTCTTCTGCATCAGTGTCACCAGATACTTAGCTATCGCCCATCACCGCTTCTATACAAAGAGGCTGACCTTTTGGACGTGTCTGGCTGTGATCTGTATGGTGTGGACTCTGTCTGTGGCAATGGCATTTCCCCCGGTTTTAGACGTGGGCACTTACTCATTCATTAGGGAGGAAGATCAATGCACCTTCCAACACCGCTCCTTCAGGGCTAATGATTCCTTAGGATTTATGCTGCTTCTTGCTCTCATCCTCCTAGCCACACAGCTTGTCTACCTCAAGCTGATATTTTTCGTCCACGATCGAAGGAAAATGAAGCCAGTCCAGTTTGTAGCAGCAGTCAGCCAGAACTGGACTTTTCACGGTCCTGGAGCCAGTGGCCAGGCAGCTGCCAATTGGCTAGCAGGATTTGGAAGGGGTCCCACACCACCCACCTTGCTGGGCATCAGGCAAAATGCAAACACCACAGGCAGAAGAAGGTTATTGGTCTTAGATGAGTTCAAAATGGAGAAAAGAATCAGCAGAATGTTCTATATAATGACTTTTCTCTTTCTAACCTTATGGGGTCCCTACCTGGTGGCCTGTTATTGGAGAGTTTTTGCAAGAGGGCCTGTAGTACCAGGGGGATTTCTAACAGCTGCTGTCTGGATGAGTTTTGCCCAAGCAGGAATCAATCCTTTTGTCTGCATTTTCTCCAACAGGGAGCTGAGGCGCTGTTTCAGCACAACCCTTCTTTACTGCAGAAAATCCAGGTTACCAAGGGAACCTTACTGTGTTATATGAGGGAGCATCTATAAATCTTTAGCCTTGTGAAACACTAACTTTCTCTGCTGAGCAATTGTGGCCCACAGCCATATCTTGAGAAGAAATTCAAGAGTGGAATCAGCAGTTTTAAGGATTTGGGCAACATTCTGCAGTCTTTGCAATAGTTCACCTATAATCCTATTTTAAATCTCAGAGTGATCCTGCTGACTGCCAGCGAAGGTTTGTAATTAAGAAAGGACTGAACCACTGCCCTAAGTTTCTTTATGTGGTCAAAAACTAGATAATGAAAGTAGCAGGTGCTAAGTATCAGTGCTAAATGCTGTGTATGTCACTACATATGAAAAAACATCAAAAAACAATTAGCATTGGACATCTTAATAAATTAAGTTGACATGAGGTAAATGTGTTGATAAAAACTAATTTTAGAAGTTTGAAGACTTTAAAACATTTCATACTATTTATTGTTTTGCAAAGACTAAAATATTTGGGGACTTAAAGTACTGTAATCCACTAAAGATGTGCCAATGAATTATTGGAATATCACACTTTAAAAACTGCCTTGTAAGTTCTGGGGAGCATTCCAAAGCAGTATATTGGTTCCAATTAGAGTTTACTTTTTTGTATTAATACATTGCTATTTCTAAATACCACTTTCCTTATCTACTAGTAAGATTGCTAGCATTGAACTGTATTATGTGGTTTTTGTTGATTTGGTATAACGTTTTTCCAATTCATTTATATTTTACAAATGCTAGATATTGGTCTGGGAGGCAACATTAATGGTACCAGCCGGTCACAACTGAGCAGTTCTAATAATGCAGAATAAACACATGTTGCCTTAAAGGGTTATCTAGTATCCTTCACCTTATTTAGCATTGGAGCAAATAGTCAAGGGAAATCGAATCAGTAACCGGTCACAGTCATGCATCTGAAAGTGCATGGAAGATCATTTAGTACTTTTTCCTTTTTTCTCACATGGTTTGAAAATTAAAGTGCACATCACTGAAATAATGAAATTTCCTTTTGAGGTGTGCTACCCATTCTAGAGTGTTCTAAGAAGCAGGCAGTTGATGTATGTTTATATTTTAAGTCAGCTGTCAAGGGGAGACCACAGCCTTAGTATGACATCCTGCACAATTTGTGAAGCATTTATTCTACTGAAGGCACAGTCTTGTTTATACTTTCTGCACATTCAGTGTATTGGTCGTTTAAATTATTTCAGTTTTAACTTGTGAAAGCTTATAATATGATTTCTGGTATTTTAGAAATACATTAGAGTCTGTGAGTCTCATTCTTTAAGATACAGATGTGTGAACTTCAATATAAAGTTGCATTTGCCAAAATTTACCCGTGTAGCCTGTTAATTTTCATAAAATAAGTTTTATATTTTTGGCACATAACGATTTCTTTTTTAATCTGGGAGGCAAGCACAACCTAGGAAGACTAGCTTTATTATGGTTTTTTTTATTTTTTATTTTTGTAGCTAGTATATTCCAGACTGGAAATGTATGAATGATAATCAACATAAAGCTGATAAACTGATATGATATTATCTGTAAAAGCATTATTTGGCAGTTTATTATCATCATCCCTCTATTGTTCTTACATGCCAGTAGTATTTAAAAATGTGTACCTGTTTAGTTAATTGGCTAAGAATTTTAGTATAAATATCACACTTTAATTTGGAGCAAAGTACTATAGAAATTTGGGGTTCTAAGTATACAACTTGTAAGAAGAATGGTATACACTAGTATTATGACAAAACTAGAAAAAGTTATTATTTTGTTTGCTTTGTGTTGTTTTGTTTGTTGGTTTTTGTGAAGTTTGGATTTTTTTTGTTATTTGATAATTAAGATTAGGAATCTAATAGAACAGAATTTCCTATTGCTATAGTACTTCTGTAAAGAGAACATCAATATAAATAAGGAAAAATAAATCAATGAAATGTTTCAATGATATATGCAACTATTCAGTTTTGCTCATATAAGGAAAGTTCAAGCCATGATTTAGTGAGCATTATGACCTCATTTTTACTTTACACCAAAGTTGATTGGATCTGAGACAACGTTTAATGCACAACAGTGAGTTGGATCTAGCAATAAAGTCTTCTTGGTACTGAAATCATTATCTAAAATAAAGAAAATGTTATCAAAAGATTTTCTGATAACATTGTGATTGCAATTTAAAAAAATTTACAGTAGAAACATAATTGCAATGATGATGATTATGGCGAACTTTGCTTAGAGGTTCAAATATCACCAGCAATCAGTAGAAAATTCAGCAATAATCTTAAGGCCAGAGAGGACAGGTTTCACCATTGCATAGACAAGAAAACAGGTATGGGTTAAGCGTGGGGGATTGAGGAGTCAAGAGCAAGAGCCAAGTGAAGCTGCCTGACTCCACCTAGCTATTTGGAATAACCGATTCCCACGGTTTTGGTAAGTGACCAGCCCCAGTGATCAAGTGAGTCAGGTCAAACTGCAGTGACTTTTATTTAATCCTACTCCTGACTAACTTGGCATTTGCAGGTCAAGCAGGAAGCAGTGGACAAGACACATCCTCAGTGAATCAATGTCATTTGTTACTAAGTTGGTAACAGTCATAATCATACAAAATAAAAGGCTGCTTCAGTGTCTTAATGACCAAACCACATGATCTCTTTTAGTACTCATTCCAAAATTCAGTATTTAATGTATTTAATCTTCAACCCATAAAAATATATTTCCACTGCAGCAGGTCAGGGGGTGTCCAACTTCCCTGTGAGCCGGATTATCAATAATAATGTGATCCTCTTGGACTGAGCACACATCTGAGCTGAACAGTCTTTAAATTGTTTTTCATAATAGTGGAGATATGTTTGTATGGATATGTCTGTACTATTTCATCTGGTTAGTTTTGTACATAACAGATTTGTTTGTGGGATGCCTGGCTGAAGCTAGGCATTCAGTATGTGACTGTGGAATCCTATGCAGATATTAATAAAGGCAGAAAGAGGTGAGTAATTTGCCCAGTTCTCCACAGAGACCCCATTTAAATAACACAAAATTAACCATAGTGATTAAATGAAAACTTATTTGTAGACAGGATAACCTATTGACTGAATTATCTTTTGCAGATATCAGCTGGATAGATTTCAACACCAGCATTGACTATAGAAGTTAACTGATTTATGATTGTTAACACATGAATATGGCCACTTATCCATTTGCCTCAACTTCCATGAATGCTACCTGAATTGTTTGTTCATTTATTTACTTATTCAACAAATATGTGCTGGGTGCTGGGCTTAGTGCTGAGTACACAGTGGAAAACAAGGCAGAACAGTCTCTTATTTAGATTTCTTAATCTAGTGGGAAAGAAACAATAAATGTTCAGTAACAATAATTTGTGAGTGCTAATATGGTAAAAATTCCTAAGAAGAACTTGATCATAATGGCCACAAATGGACTGTTCTCCATTTTCACTTTGGTGCCTTATCACCTATCTTTGCCCAGTGTTATTTGGGATCTCATACATATTATACATACTCCCTCAACTGAGAGGGAACTCACTCATTCTATTCAAAGCAACCTTTCACCCACACCAGACGAATCACTATGGTGTGTTTTAGAACCAGCTCCCATGTAGTGTAATTCTATCTACATAATAACAGGAAAACCTAAATTTTCCCTTCCAAAGTTTCCTTCATATCCTGACTATCCACTTCCAAAACAGAGATATTTTAATTTCATCAAGAGACATGGAGACGTCCTTTCTGCCATACTCAGGTCTTGCTGCAAGATAGGATAAAAATGCTTGGTTAAAATGCAATCAAAGGAATGAGTTATTTGTGTGCATCTTAAGATGACTTGCAGGGCCCCTCCTAGATAACTTGTGAAACAGAGTGCATATCTTTCATTATTAAAGAATGCCACCCCTTCAATGTTTTTATTGCTCCTTAATTGGAATACAATAAAACTCCCTAATCTCCGATCAGCTGAGAAGTTGGTTTGGCCTCCAAAATTCACTTCTACTGCAAGTACAATGAAACTGATTTAAAGCTATACAGATTACATTTTTCAGCAAAACTATGTCACAATGAGTTGGGCTGCACCTGGGATTACTGTAGGACAGTTGCAAACAAAACCAAAACTCTTCACTTCTGTGTATTCACTACTGGATAAATTTACTGGGTTTCACTGTTTCATGGCATGTGTAGCATAGACTGTATTATTATTAAAACAAAAGCAATTTGCATTAATTTCATATTAAAAAGAAAAGAAAGAAGCTAAGATGGGAAATAGTGATGTTTTCAATACTGGCTAAAGACATTAAACAAGGTAGACAGTAAACTGAGTTTTGGGTTATTTGTGGTTCTAAAATCTTATGAGTTTATTTTTCTATGCAAAAATGCATCATTTTCATGTTTGTTACTATCCTTTTATAAATATTTTAAATGGAAATTGCAGGATATACTAAGAATTGTTTACTGCTGAAATTTTTTGTTGTTATTGTCAACTATGGGCATGTCAGCGCTCTGTGAGTTTCCTAATTCCCTCAGAAACTTTTTTTACACCACATTAAAATGATAGAATTGCTCAATTTTGAGGCAAAAAAAATCATAATTAATCTGTATAGTGGTTAAAATGAAAATATCATTTGCAATGACTGGAATTTCTTTTTTGGCCATCAGTCAAAACAGTCAAATAAGTTAAAGGCATATTGGCACTGGATCAATGTAGAGAGAAGTTTTTGTTATTATTATTTTTTTGATAACTGTTTTTGCCTTATGCTGAAATGTAACAGGTTCTAAATAATATATTAAGACCAAAAAGCTTTAACTGTATGAAAAGATTATATAAACAAGTCCTGGTTTTTAAAATGGGGAAGGAGTTTTACATCATCTCTTTTTGCCAAAGGGATAATGCCCATTAGCTGCTCAATCCCTTTGGGTTAAAAGGCTTTTAAAGCCAGTTTTCCTCTCACCATAACAGGCAGTTATTACAAGGGCTAGCTCCCTTAAAGGTCCCCAGAGGAAAGCAAAGAGAATGTATTTCCCTCTGAGTGACTGGGGGGAAAAAGGCCTCAAAGCCACAGGTGGTTTGGGGTTTGGAATTATTCACACCTAACATTCACCTCCTTGGCTCCTTCTGGGGACACAGGAGAACATCACGGTAAGAAAGATCTAGGTTTCAAGTTCAGCTTGGAGGCAGAGAACAATTCCTTTTTTTCTCTCTGTGTTTGGAAAATAATAGATTATTGACACAAATATTAAAACATATTATAATGCATGTCCTGGTTTGTGTGGTTTTGACAGACAATAAAGTAACATTTAACTTATAAGGCTATTCAAGATTATGGGATAAAGAAAGAAGTCACTGATTATCCTACAATATAAAGAGGAGTGATTATAATCCTATAATATAAAGAAAAGTGATTATAATTTTTAAAGCTGAATTGACACTTGAGCTTGAACTAGCTAATTAGTCGTTTCTTTTCATAGCTTTTGGGGGAAAATCTGACTAAATAGATGAAAGAAGAGTTTGTTCTTTTCTATCAAAAAAATTAAAAGTAAAAAGATCAATTTTTTCCATTAAAAAAGGAATTTTTGAACATTTTTCATAAGCATTTTTACTTAGACATAATTCAGTACAAGAATAAGTTATTGTGCATCTACTGCATGTGTGATTTGGGGAAAGCTATTTAACCTTTCTATTCCTCATCAATAAAAAATGAACTGCAATGGTACATTATGTCGTAAGGTTTTTGAGAGGATTTAGGAAGTGTGCATCCTTGTGAAGCCCTTAGCAGAGTCTGGCATCTTAAATAAATTTGATTTTTTACTGTGTTTGAGGTACTGGCCCTCTCATAGTTCACCATCTAGCAACAGAGACATCAACAAATTGTGAGGCTATGTGATAAGTGCTGTAAAGAAGACATGTGAGATAAGTGTTAAAGGAACACAAGCAATTACTTCTGTAAAAGTGGGAGCAGGAAGGTGAGATAGAAAAGGTTGCACTTGAATTCAGTCTTGAAGGATAATTTTAATTTAATATGCTTGACAAAGTTGGGGAAACCATTTCAGATGGAGGGAATAACAAGGTGAGCAAAAGGCAAGATTTTAAAGCTCATGATATGTTTAACATAGGGATTCACTAATCAGAGAAGTTTATGTGGTGTGGCTACGATTTAGGTACTGAACTGGGAAGGCTGGCATGGTATAGAGGTGAAAAAGCAGGACATTTGGAGGTTTAAGTCTTTATTCTGGCCCTTACTAGATCTATGGTCTTAAATCAGTTAAACTCTTTGAGTTTCAATTTGCTTATCTGTAAATTGAGGAATAAGTAGTAGCAACATTTTAAGATTTGCTTTGAAGATTAAATGAGATAAAAAATATAACTATTATTCATTAAATACTTACTATGTACCAAGCTCTGTTCTAAACACTTTTCATATATTAACTCAGTTGATTATCACAGTAATTAGATGCTATTATTATCTATACTTTGCAAATGAAGAAATTAAAGCACAGAGAAGTTAAGTAACTTGTACAAGTTAGCAAAACATAGCTATAAAGCACTTAGTACAGTAACCAGCACATTGTGAACTTCCAAAAATTCTGGCTATTGTTATTGCTATTGTTATTACTGCTGCTACTGCTGGTTTTTTTTTTTTTTTTTTTTTTTTTTTTTTTTTTTTTTT